GAGCTCCGCTTGATGAAGACTCAACGCACACGCAACAAGAGCCTGGAAGCTTAAGTAGGGCGCACCCAAACACCTATTTTCAAGCGTTTGCACCAAATGGGAAAAGTTCAAACACACGGAAGTTGGGTTTCACCTGTATGGACCTAACACACAATGGACTTCTTGTGAAAAATTGGGACGGGTAATGAAAAGTACATTTTTGCAGGGCTCCCAAGCGTAAAAATTTCTGAATAGATATCGAGCAGCCCGGCACATCGACGCCGAAACAGGACATCCACTTGAAGCTGAAGGTTCTTCTGTGTATGTGGTGGGACGTGAAGGGTGTACTTTACTACGAACTCGTGAAACCGGTCAGGCGGTGATTGTGGAACGCTACAGCCGACAAGTTAACAAACTGAGCGAAGAACGTGATTTGAAAAGACTCTTTCCTGGTAGAGAAGCAGTCGAGTCACATTGCTGCTGCATGACAACGCTTGACCACCTCACGTTGACTCACAAGACCCTCTTGAACTTGGTATGTGGTGTTCTTCCGAACGTGGCATATTCACCAGACTTGCGGTCAATGCAGCAGCACGCCTCAGTGGATACACAGTTCAAAACGTCGGACGATGTACGCAAATTCGTCGATGATGACTTTATCGTCTGGAAGCCTGCAAGTTTCTTTCGCGACGGCATTCGTGGATTACCAGAGAGAGATGGCGTATGGTCCCAGAAGACGCTGGACGATATTTCCACAGCACTCGTCGCCTTGCCTACGCTTCCACGCCAACCACCGACCGGTAGATCGCCGTGTTTTACGCGTATTTTTTCCCTCTTACAGATGCCAGAGGAGGAGGCGTTCGCCGTGCTGGTACAACTCATGAACGAATACCGGCTGCGCGAGTTCTACAAGCCCTGCATGACCGAACTGGGCGTCTGCATGCACCAACTCGACGGCCTGATAGCCGAGCACCTGCCGGAGTTGCACACGCATTTCACCACGCAGGCCTTCGCGCCCAGCCACTACGCGTCCGCGTGGTTCCTCACCCTCTTCGCCACCGCCTTCCCCCTACCCATGACCACCCGAGTGATGGATCTCTTTATTGCCGAGGTAGGTAGTGGCCCCTGTGGCTAAGTTCTTGTTTTCCCCCTGATTCCACTCGCCAAGCTGTGGGCGATCGCACCTACAAGGATTTGTGGAATGTCCGGAACGATGAAACACCTGTCACTTGCCTGCATGCGCATTTCTGTTAGTTCTATCGTCGATAGCTTTCAAACTGTTCTTCGAAGGCCGTCCAGGAGTTTATCCTAGCTGAAACCAAACGCATTTCTTCTGTTTTTCTCTCCACTGTTAACATGACCCCGTATGTCGAACTGTCGTTTATTTCAACGAAGCAGATTGCCCAAAATTGGTTTCTCCAGACTGTCAACATCAGTAATGCCGATCGTGAGTCATGCCAGTCTGAGTAAGGCGTCACCGCTAGGAGTTATCTTGTACGCCCCTTGTTCTCTTGCTCATATGTAGGATGACTGCTACCACTTCACTGCCCGTCGCCATGGTGACTGTGCGCCTAAGACGCTGTATTTCTCACGCTTTCTCTTCTCCGACCTGTTGAGGTGCATTGAGCATAAATGTGCCACTCCACTTTTATTGCTTCGTCGTGCCTACGACTGTGGGAAATGTGAATGTGAAGTTAGACACACAACGATGGCACATTTCATACGTGTGATCTCGTGTGTGTGTGTGTGTGACAGCTAATGCAGTCGATTGACACACGCAAGCGTTCAACACGCGTTTGCACGCCCCACGTATCTACCTGGCCATGCAAACAACGCCGCTGAGCCAGTAGGCCAAATTAACCAATCCCCGGCCTCCTCCTCCTCCTCCCCCAACTCGACGTCTGATTGGTCGTGGTTGTGGCACAGGTCATTGCGGTTGTATTGAACTTGATCGGCAACGGGATTGGATCAAATCAATAACAATTTATTCTCCATCGTTTTTTAGCACGTCTTTGATGCCTCTGCGCTAGGGATTTCTGGATTTTGACTCCTGAAAGCGATTGAAACTTGTGACAAACCCTAGTCTTAATGAAATTCTCGCTGAAAAAGCTGATTTCTTGTCCACATTTCTGGCGTACTCAGCGGTCATCGTGACATCTTTAAAAAAATTCCTGAATAGCTATTTAGCGGGTACGCGTACTCCACCAACCAATCGTAGAAATTGTGGCACAAAATTACGCAAATGAGGCGGGTTTTTAGATTCTGGTACAGGCGCACCCTTGTGGCGGCATCACTCATTTGCTAACTTCGTTTTTTTAGGGCATGGAATTCATCCTGCGTCTTTCATTAGCCATTCTGAAGCAATTCGCCCCACGTCTCCTCACTATGGACATGGAGACAATGATTTTCGTAAGTTGCTAACCTCTGCTATCATGTGTACGTCGAGAAGGCTTCAGTTCTAGCGACTTTACTAGATATCTGATTGTCCTCAACACTAGAAATCACTCCTGCAGCCAGCGATGTGACAACAGTACCTGGATTTTGTGTTTACTTTGGCCAGAGTTGGATTCTCCGCACGCGCCCACCTAGTAGGTCTCAAGTAGGTGTATCCACGTCCGTCAGAGATTGGTTAATGAGGCGGTGCTGCTGGGCTACAAATAACCCTGGTTATTGAGGGAGAAAATTAAAACAGCCAAGTGAAAAATAAAAATTGCATCTCCGGAAACGGCACGATCTCCTATTTAAGCAGGAAATCTGTGCATGAAGCTACAATTATATCGATTATGTGGCCATTGGCCTCTCAGGATTGGTTCCGGGGCTGCTGAGTAAAAGGCTAAACGGCCAATCACGTCCACTCGCAAGCTCAAATGCACCAATAGCCTCGCACTTGGCCGTTTCGTCCACAAGCAGCAGCACCAGCAGCGCGTGACGCTTGAATGGCTCACAAGAGGAGAATCCACTTGGCTACAAACGGATTTTGACGGGTCTCAGGTGTGTTGTGGAGGGACAGGGTTTTCTCCAGCTAGTCTCACGTGCCAGTAACCAATCATACTAGAGTGCCTCTGATTTCAGCCAATGGCTAAGTAGGCGTGGTTTGTATCGGCATTGATCGACTGAAGGACCACAGGTTCAGGTCTAGACCACTGCAGCT